ATGGCTGTCTGGCTACACACTTCTGACATATATGTCCCTCTGTGTCTGAACAACATGGGTGTCTGGCTACACACTTCTGACAAGTATGACCCTCTGTGCCTGAACAACATGGGTGTCTGGCTACACACTTCTGACATATATGTCCCTCTGTCTGAACAACATGGCTGTCTGGCTACACTCTTCTGACAAGTATGACCCTCTGTCTAAACAACAGGGGTGTCTGGCTACACTCTTCTGACATATATGACCCTCTGTGTCTGAACAACATGGGTGTCTTGCTACACACTTCTGACATATATGACCCTCTGTGTCTGAACAACATGGGTGTCTTGCTACATACTTCTGACAAGTATGACCCTCTGACAAGTATGACCCTCTGTGTCTGAACAACATGGCTGTCTGGCTACACACTTGTGACATATATGTCCCTCTGTCTGAACAACATGGGTGTCTGGCTACACACTTCTGACATATATGTCCCTCTGTCTGAACAACATGGCTGTCTGGCTACACACTTCTGACAAGTATGACCCTCTGTCTGAACAACATGGCTGTCTGGCTACACACTTCTGACATATATGACCCTCTGTCTGAAAACATGGCTGTCTGGCTACACACTTCTGACAAGTATGACCCTCTGTCTGAACAACATGGCTGTCTGGCTACACACTTCTGACATATATGACCCTCTGTCTGAACAACATGGCTGTCTGGCTACACACTTCTGACATATATGACCCTCTGTCTGAACAACATGGGTGTCTGGCTACACACTTCTGACATATATGACCCTCTGTCTGAACAACATGGGTGTCTGGCTACACACTTCTGACATATATGACCCTCTGTCTGAACAACATGGCTGTCTGGCTACACACTTCTGACAAGTATGACCCTCTGTGTCTGAACAACATGGGTGTCTGGCTACACACTTCTGACATATATGACCCTCTGTCTGAACAACATGGGTGTCTGGCTACACACTTCTGACATATATGACCCTCTGTCTGAACAACATGGGTGTCTGGCTACACACTTCTGACATATATGACCCTCTGTCTGAACAACATGGCTGTCTGGCTACACACTTCTGACAAGTATGACCCTCTGTCTGAACAACATGGCTGTCTGGCTACACACTTCTGACATATAAATGACCCTCTGTGTCTGAACAACATGTCTGTCTGGTAACACACTTCTGACAAGCATGCCTTATATATATATTTGTGTCGTATCATTTCATTATGAAGAATTTAGCACAATGTGACAATCATCACCACAAACAAATCTTGCGTGGATGTCTGGCAAACAAAAACAATGTGTAAGGCACTTTAAGCGTGTAAGGATTAGGATATAACTTCTATATACACTAGTCTGCTGCAATGACCTGCTGCAAAGCAGCCACTGACCAAATGAGGGATGGAACAGATCCATGAGCCTCTATCACATGCGGTGACTACAAGGTCAGACTAGGTGCTCCATCAGTCTCCATCACACGCTGTCACTACAAGGTCAGACTAGGTGCTCCATGAGCCTCTATCACATGCGGTGACTACAAGGTCAGACTAGGTGCTCCATGAGCCTCCATCACACGCTGTCACTACAAGGTCAGACTAGGTGCTCCATGAGCCTCTATCACATGCGGTGACTACAAGGTCAGACTTGGTGCTCCATAAGCCTCTAGCACATGCGGTGACTACAAGGTCAGACTAGGTGCTCCATGAGCCTCTATCACATGCTGTCACTACAAGTTCAGACTAGGTGCTCCATGAGCCTCCATCACACGCTGTCACTACAAGGTCAGACTAGGTGCTCCATGAGCCTCTATCACATGCTGTCACTACAAGTTCAGACTAGGTGCTCCATGAGCCTCTATCACACGCTGTCACTACAAGGTAAGACTAGGTGATCCATGAGCCTCTATCACATGCGGTGACTACAAGGTCAGACTTGGTGCTCCATAAGCCTCTAGCACATGCGGTGACTACAAGGTCAGACTAGGTGATCCATGAGCCTCCATCACACGCTGTCACTACAAGGTCAGATTAGGTGATCCATGAGCCTCCATCACACGCTGTCACTACAAGGTCAGACTAGGTGATCCATGAGCCTCCATCACACGCTGTCACTACAAGGTCAGATTAGGTGATCCATGAGCCTCCATCACACGCTGTCACTACAAGGTCAGACTAGGTGATCCATGAGCCTCTATCACACGCTGTCACTACAAGGTCAGACTAGGTGATCCATGAGCCTCCATCACACGCTGTCACTACAAGGTCAGACTAGGTGATCCATGAGCCTCTATCACACGCTGTCACTACAAGGTCAGACTTGGTGCTCCATAAGCCTCTATCACACGCTGTCACTACAAGGTCAGACTAGGTGATCCATGAGCCTCCATCACACGCTGTCACTACAAGGTCAGACTAGGTGATCCATGAGCCTCTATCACACGCTGTCACTACAAGGTCAGACTTGGTGCTCCATGAGCCTCTATCACACGCTGTCACTACAAGGTCAGACTAGGTGATCCATGAGCCTCCATCACACGCTGTCACTACAAGGTCAGACTAGGTGATCCATGAGCCTCTATCACACGCTGTCACTACAAGGTCAGACTAGGTGCTCCATCAGCCTCTATCACACGCTGTCACTACAAGGTCAGACTAGGTGCTCCATGAGCCTCTATCACATGCGGTGACTACAAGGTCAGACTAGGTGCTCCATCAGCCTCTATCACATGCGGTGACTACAAGGTCAGACTAGGTGCTCCATGAGCCTCTATCACATGCGGTGACTACAAGGTCAGACTAGGTGCTCCATCAGCCTCCATCCCATGGGGTGACTACAAGGTCAGACTAGGTGCTCCATGAGCCTCTATCACATGCGGTGACTACAAGGTCAGACTAGGTGATCCATGAGCCTCCATCACACGCTGTCACTACAAGGTCAGACTAGGTGCTCCATGAGCCTCTATCACATGCGGTGACTACAAGGTCAGACTTGGTGCTCCATAAGCCTCTAGCACATGCGGTGACTACAAGGTCAGACTAGGTGATCCATGAGCCTCCATCACACGCTGTCACTACAAGGTCAGACTAGGTGATCCATGAGCCTCCATCCCGGGCAGTCACTACACGGACTTAGGTCAGACTAGGTGCTCCATCAGCCTCAATCCCATGCGGTCACTACAAGGTCAGACTTGGTGCTTCATGAGCCTCCATCCCATGTGGTCACTACAAGGACTTAGGTCAGACTAGGTGCTTCATGAGCCTCCATCCCGGGGGTTCACTACACGGACTTAGGTCAGACTAGGTGCTTCATGAGCCTCCATCACAGGCGGTGACTACAAGGTCAGACTAGGTGATCCATCAGCCTCCATCCCGGGCAGTCACTACAAGGTCTTAGGTCAGACTAGGTGCTCCATCAGCCTCCATCCCATGCGGTCACTACAAGGTCAGACTTGGTGCTTCATGAGCCTCCATCCCATGCGGTCACTACACGGACTTAGGTTAGACTAGGTGCGTCATGAGCCTCCATCCCATGCGGTCACTACAAGGTCAGACTAGGTGCGTCATGAGCCTCCATCCCACGTGGTCACTACACGGACTTAGGTAAGACTAGGTGCTTCATGAGCCTCCATCCCATGCGGTCACTACAAGGACTTAGGTAAGACTAGGTGCTTCATGAGCCTCCATCCCACGTGGTCACTACAAGGACTTAGGTAAGACTAGGTGCTTTATGAGCCTCCATCCCACGCGGTCACTACAAGGACTTAGGTAAGACTAGCTGCTTTATGAGCCTCCATCCCACGCGGTCACTACAAGGACTTAGGTCAGACTAGGTGCTTCATGAGCCTCCATCCCACGCGGTCACTACAAGGACTTAGGTAAGACTAGGTGCTTCATGAGCCTCCATCCCATGCGGTCACTACACGGACTTAGGTAAGACTAGGTGCTTCATGAGCCTCCATCCCACGCGGTCACTACAAGGACTTAGGTAAGACTAGGTGCTTCATGAGCCTCCATCCCATGCGGTCACTACACAGACTTAGGTTAGACTAGGTGCTTCATGAGCCTCCATCCCATGCGGTCACTACACGGACTTAGGTAAGACTAGGTGCTTCATGAGCCTCCATCCCATGCGGTCACTACAAGGACTTAGGTCAGACTAGGTGCTTCATGAGCCTCCATCACACACAGTCACTTCAAGGTAAGACTAGGTGCTTCATGAGCCTCCATCCCACGTGGTCACTACAAGGACTTAGGTAAGACTAGGTGCTTCATGAGCCTCCATCCCATGCGGTCACTACACAGACTTAGGTTAGACTAGGTGCTTCATGAGCCTCCATCCCACGCGGTCACTACAAGGACTTAGGTAAGACTAGGTGCTTCATGAGCCTCCATCCCATGCGGTCACTACACAGACTTAGGTTAGACTAGGTGCTTCATGAGCCTCCATCCCATGCGGTCACTACAAGGACTTAGGTCAGACTAGGTGCGTCATGAGCCTCCATCCCACGTGGTCACTACACGGACTTAGGTCAGACTAGGTGCGTCATGAGCCTCCATCCCATGCGGTCACTTCAAGGACTTAGGTCAGACTAGGTGCGTCATGAGCCTCCATCCCACGTGGTCAGTACAAGGACTTAGGTCAGACTAGGTGCGTCATGAGCCTCCATCCGACGTGGTCACTACAAGGACTTAGGTCAGACTAGGTGCTTCATGAGCCTCCATCCCACGTGGTCACTACACGGACTTAGGTCAGACTAGGTGATCCATGAGCCTTCATCACACGCGGTCACTACACGGACTTAGGTCAGACTAGGTGCTTCATGAGCCTCCATCACAGGCGGTCACTACAAGGACTAGGTGCTCTTGGGCACACACACGATCATCACCCCACATAAATGCTCACCATTATTAGTAGTAGCAGAGGTATTACTATAATTAATATTATCTACTTGTTAAAGTAAATCTGTACAAACAGAGCCTTACCTACTTGTCACTGCAGATGCATATCCATGCACCAATCCCTTACATAACTAGCGTGCAACAGCTTCCTACCCACTGCTGAAAGGGACATGCAGTGAAGGGTGCAACAGATGAATGGTTCCTCATGTCAGCCCCTGTGTGGGACACACAGCAGCCCTGTGTGGGACACACAGCAGCCCTGGAGGACGTGAATAACAGCACAGTTTACATAGGGGAAACGCGCTTTAGAAATATTTGTAGTTTTCTCACTTATCACAAGAACAACCTTAAAAAATCAGACTCACTTACAATTTAAAATCTTAGCATCAAGCCACCATGTGAGTATTTTCAATGGCTGTGTGATGCCACAAACCTCTTTACAGATAGAGTATTCACGACAAACATGGTAGTCTGAAAACATGATCCGAGGATACATGTGACCTGCAGTCCAGGTTACAATGGAAAAACACAACACAACACATGTGGATGAGAAGTCACACCTCGCAGTCCATGTTCAGCCTGCAGGCGTTCCAACGATATCATTCAGTGGTTATATAACATCATCCTTTGTATTGATGTCAAGCCTGCAGGTGTTCCAACGATATCATTCAGTGGTTATATAACATCATCCTTTGTATTGATGTCAAGCCTGCAGGCGTTCCAACGATATCATTCAGTGGTTATATAACATCATCCTTTGTATTGATGTCAAGCCTGCAGGCGTTCCAACGATATCATTCAGTGGTTATATAACATCATCCTTTGTATTGATGTCAAGCCTGCAGGCGTTCCAACGATATCATTCAGTGGTTATATAACATCATCCTTTGTATTGATGTCAAGCCTGCAGGCGTTCAAACGATATCATTTAGTGGTTATATAACATCATCCTTTGTATTGATGTCAAGCCTGCAGGCGTTCCAACGATATCATTCAGTGGTTATATAACATCATCCTTTGTATTGATGTCAAGCCTGCAGGCGTTCCAACGATATCATTCAGTGGTTATATAACATCATCCTTTGTATTGATGTCAAGCCTGCAGGCGTTCCAACGATATCATTCAGTGGTTATATAACATCATCCTTTGTATTGATGTCAAGCCTGCAGGCGTTCCAACGATATCATTCAGTGGTTATATAACATCATCCTTTGTATTGATGTCAAGCCTGCAGGCGTTCCAACGATATCATTCAGTGGTTATATAACATCATCCTTTGTATTGATGTCAAGTCTGAAGGCGTTCCAACGACATCATTCAGTGGTTATATAACATCATCCTTTGTATTGATGTCAAGCCTGAAGGCATTCCAACGACATCATTCAGTGGTTATATAACATCATCCTTTGTATTGATGTCAAGCCTGAAGGCATTCCAACGACATCATTCAGTGGTTATATAACATCATCCTTTGTATTGATGTCAAGCCTGAAGGCATTCCAACGACATCATTCAGTGGTTATATAACATCATCCATTGTATTGATGTCAAGCCTGAAGGCATTCCAACGACATCACTCAGTGGTTATATAACATCATCCATTGTATTGATGTCAAGCCTGAAGGCATTCCAACGACATCATTCAGTGGTTATATAACATCATCCATTGTATTGATGTCAAGCCTGAAGGCATTCCAACGACATCATTCAGTGGTTATATAACATCATCCATTGTATTGATGTCAAGCCTGAAGGCATTCCAACGACATCATTCAGTGGTTATATAACATCATCCATTGTATTGATGTCAAGCCTGAAGGCATTCCAACGACATCATTCAGTGGTTATATAACATCATCCATTGTATTGATGTCAAGCCTGAAGGCATTCCAACGACATCATTCAGTGGTTATATAACATCATCCATTGTATTGATGTCAAGCCTGAAGGCATTCCAACGACATCATTCAGTGGTCATATAACATCATCCTTTGTATTGATGTCAAGCCTGAAGGCATTCCAACGAACATCATCCTTTGCATTGATGTCAAGCCTGAAGGCATTCCAACGACATCATTCAGTGGTTATATAACATCATCCATTGTATTGATGTCAAGCCTGAAGGCATTCCAACGACATCATTCAGTGGTCATATAACATCATCCTTTGTATTGATGTCAAGCCTGAAGGCATTCCAACGAACATCATCCTTTGCATTGATGTCAAGCCTGAAGGCATTCCAACGACATCGTTCAGTGGTTATATAACATCATCCTTTGTATTGATGTCAAGCCTGAAGGCATTCCAACGACATCATCCTTTGCATTGATGTCAAGCCTGAAGGCATTCCAACGACATCATTCAGTGGTTATATAACATCATCCTTTGTATTGATGTCAAGCCTGAAGGCATTCCAACGACATCATTCAGTGGTTATATAACATCATCCATTGTATTGATGTCAAGCCTGAAGGCATTCCAACGACATCATTCAGTGGTCATATAACATCATCCATTGTATTGATGTCAAGCCTGAAGGCATTCCAACGACATCATTCAGTGGTTATATAACATCATCCATTGTATTGATGTCAAGCCTGAAGGCATTCCAACGACATCATTCAGTGGTCATGACATCATCCTTTGTATTGATGTCAAGCCTGAAGGCATTCCAACGACATCATTCAGTGGTCATGTGACATGATCCATTGTATTGATGTCAAGCCTGAAGGCATTCCAACGACATCATTCAGTGATCATGACATCATCCTTTGTATTGATGTCAAGCCTGAAGGCATTCCAACGACAACATTCAGTGGTTATATAACATCATCCTTTGTATTGATGTCAAGCCTGCAGGCATTCCAACGACAACATTCAGTGGTTATATAACATTATCTATTGTATTGATGTCAAGTCTGAAGGCATTCCAACGACATCATTCAGTGGTCATGACATCATCCATTGTATTGATGTCAAGCCTGAAGGCGTTCCAGTGACGTCATTCAGTGGTTATATAACATCATCCTTTGTATTGATGTCAAGCCTGAAGGCGTTCCAGTGACATCATTCAGTGGTTATATAACATCATCCATTGTATTGATGTCAAGTCTGAAGGCATTCCAACGACATCATTCAGTGGTTATATAACATCATCCATTGTATTGATGTCAAGCCTGAAGGCGTTCCAGTGACGTCATTCAGTGGTCATATAACATCATCCTTTGTATTGATGTCAAGCCTGAAGGCGTTCCAGTGACGTCATTCAGTGGTCATATAACATCATCCTTTGTATTGATGTCAAGCCTGAAGGCGTTCCAGTGACGTCATTCAGTGGTCATGACATCATCCTTTGTATTGATGTCAAGCCTGAAGGCGTTCCAGTGACGTCATTCAGTGGTCATGACATCATCCTTTGTATTGATGTCAAGCCTGAAGGCATTCCAGTGACGTCATTCAGTGGTCATGACATCATCCTTTGTATTGATGTCAAGCCTGAAGGCATTCCAACGACATCATTCAGTGGTCATATAACATCATCCATTGTATTGATGTCAAGCCTGCAGGCATTCCAACGACATCATTCAGTGGTCATATAACATCATCCATTGTATTGATGTCAAGCCTGAAGGCATTCCAACGACATCATTCAGTGGTCATATAACATCATCCATTGTATTGATGTCAAGCCTGAAGGCGTTCCAACGACATCATTCAGTGGTTATATAACATCATCCATTGTATTGATGTCAAGCCTGAAGGCGTTCCAGTGACGTCATTCAGTGGTTATATAACATCATCCATTGTATTGATGTCAAGTCTGAAGGCATTTCAACGACATCATTCAGTGGTTATATAACATCATCCATTGTATTGATGTCAAGTCTGAAGGCATTCCAACGACATCATTCAGTGGTCATGACATCATCCATTGTATTGATGTCAAGCCTGAAGGCGTTCCAGTGACGTCATTCAGTGGTTATATAACATCATCCTTTGTATTGATGTCAAGCCTGAAGGCGTTCCAGTGACATCATTCAGTGGTTATATAACATCATCCATTGTATTGATGTCAAGTCTGAAGGCATTCCAACGACATCATTCAGTGGTTATATAACATCATCCATTGTATTGATGTCAAGCCTGAAGGCGTTCCAGTGACGTCATTCAGTGGTCATATAACATCATCCTTTGTATTGATGTCAAGCCTGAAGGCGTTCCAGTGACGTCATTCAGTGGTCATATAACATCATCCTTTGTATTGATGTCAAGCCTGAAGGTGTTCCAGTGACGTCATTCAGTGGTCATGACATCATCCTTTGTATTGATGTCAAGCCTGAAGGCGTTCCAGTGACGTCATTCAGTGGTCATGACATCATCCTTTGTATTGATGTCAAGCCTGAAGGCGTTCCAGTGACGTCATTCAGTGGTCATGACATCATCCTTTGTATTGATGTCAAGCCTGAAGGCGTTCCAGTGACGTCATTCAGTGGTTATATAACATCATCCATTGTATTGATGTCAAGCCTGAAGGCGTTCCAGTGACGTCATTCAGTGGTTATATAACATCCTGTAAACAAGTGTGGACCAGACAATCCAGTAATCGTTATTGTGAGCAATGGTCCACACCACCAGGGTACTGTGACAAGCCTGACCACCTACATCTTCCCGAGGCAAGAGGACTATAAAAGTCCAGTTTCCACCCTTGCCGAACTATCCTGGTATTATGGAGTTACATTTTGGCTGGGCTAACGAGTCTATGCATCATAAGCCAATCAAAATCGCGTAACAAAATCAAAATCAAAATCCAGTTCGTACACTGTTGTGCAGATTTCGGTCGATTGTCGACAGATATTTTCCAAATCTTTTCATGTTTTTAATCAAGGTGCTCATGTGATTTGATGCATTTCGCGATGTAAGATCCATTTTATTACAATATAGGTCTTGATTATCAATCAGATCGCCCTGACTTGGCACCGCCATTTTGTTTGAAGCAAATGCAAGTGATACGAGAGCTGGAATCTGATTGGTCCATAGGATAGGCTTACAAGGGACATAACTCGTGATAGCCACTGGTGGCGCTACAATTGAGCCCAGGAATTCCAGCCTAGTTCAGCAAAGGTGGAAACTGGTCTTTCATAGTCAGTTGACTCTCTTGCCTCTGGAACATGGACAATCCAATCCACTTAGTCGCCCTTCACAACCAGCATCGGTCCCCAGGAACTGCTCA